ATATCTGGTTTAGTCTTGGTTCATATCTAGTTTAGTCCTGTTTGAGATCTAGTTTAGTCCTGGTTTAGATTTGGTTTAGTCCTGTTTTAGTCCTGATTTAGCTCTGGTTTAGTCCTGGTTTAGTTCTGATTTAGATCTGGTTTAGTTCTGATTTAGATCTGGTTTAGATCTGGTTTAGTCCTGGTTAGTCCTAATTTAGATCTGGTTTAGTCCTGGTTTAGAATTGAGGTAGTCCTGGTTTAGATCTGGTTTAGATCTGGTTTAAATCTGGTTTACATATGGTTTACTCCTGGTTTAGATCTGGCTTAGATCTAGTTTTATCCCAGTTTAATCTCGGTTTAGTCCTGGTTTAGCTCTAGATTCATCCCGATTTAATCCTGGTTTAATCCTGGTTTAGTCATGGTTTAGTACTGGTTTAGATCTGGTTTACATCTAGTTTTATCCCAGTTTAATCCTGGTTTAATCCTGGTTTAGTCTTGCTTTAGCCCTGGTTTAGTTCAGTCTATTCTTGGTGAAATTTCCTCCTACTTTAGTTTTAATTAAATCCAAATATTTTCCTACATTTTCCACACATGAACACACACATTTCCAGTCTTGTTTTAATCTCACTGACTTTCAGACTCTCTAAACTCTAAACTCTCCTAAACTCTGGTGTTCTGCAGCGCTGCACAGATTAGAGCCCTGCCTCGTGTGCACGCCTCTTTAAAGACTCCGTTTGTGAAGGAGTTTTTATCTGATGCTGTTTCATCCCACAGAGCACAGAAGACAGAATTCTGCATGAGAATAAGAAGGAAAAGGCAAAGCTGAAATAACTACGTTTACACAGGCACAGGAGAAATGAGCACAGATGGACTACAGACACTTAAAGGTGCTTTATTAAACGCTCTGTTCCACCTTGTGTTGTCATCAGTTTTAACAACAATTTTTACCCTCAGTTAAACTGCTTTACTTTTCAATACACTAGTTTTATTGTTTTTATTATTTTTGTTTAGTCTGGCCCTGGTTTAGTCCAGTTTAAGTTAAATCTGGGTTTGGAGTTAGTTTAAGTATTGGTTTGGCCCTGATCATGGTTTAGATCTGGTTTAGTCCTGGTTTAGTCCTGGTTCATATCTGGTTTAGATCTAGTTTAGTCCTGGTTTTGATCTGGCTAAGTCCGAGTTTAGATCGGGTTTAGGCCTGGTTTAAATAGGGTTTAGATCTGGTTTGGATCTGGTTTAGTCCTGGTTTTAGATCTAGTTTAGTCCTGGTTTAGATCTGGTTTAGATCTAGTTTGGTCCTGGTTTAGATCTAGTTTAGATCTGGTGTAGTCCTGTTTTAGATCTGATTTAGCTCTGGTTTACTCCTGGTTTGGATTAGGTTTAGATCTTGTCTAGTCCTGGTTTAGATCTAGTTTAGTCCTGGTTTAGATCTGGTGTAGTCCTGTTTGAGTCCTGATTTAGCTCTAGTTTATTTCTGATTTAGATCTCATTTAGATCTTGTCTAGCCCTGGTTTAGATCTAGTTTAGATCTGTTGTAGGTGTTGTTTTGCAAGTCTCAAGTAAGTCTCAAGTCTTTGACCTCAAGGCCGAGTCAAGTCCCAAGTCCCATACAGGCAGGTCCAAGTCGAGTCTTGAGTCACTGGCCCATAAGTCCAAGTCAAGTCCAAGTCGTCTGCTTTGAGCTTCAAGTCATTTCAAGTCTTTAAACCAAAGAACCGCTTAGATTTTAGCAATTTACATGACTTTTAAACTAAATTGTACTTAAAAAGTCACGGTATATTTATATATGAGTATTTATAGAGTAAATAAGAGTTCTAGAAATTAATTTAGTTATTTTTTCCTTCGTGTGAATTATTAAAGTCAGAAGAGAAAGAATTCAGATTTAAAAGTGCTTCTCAAGTCACAGGCCTCAAGTCCGAGTCAAGTCCCAAGTCACTGACCTTCAAGTCCAAGTCGAGTCCCAAGCCTTAGTCCATTTTATCAAGTCAAGTCTCAAGTCCTAAAAATAGTGACTCAAGTCTGACTCGAGTCCAAGTCACGAATTGCAAGTCCCACCTCTGATCCAAATGATTCTAGTGAAGGTGTATGGAGTTTAAAAACACATATTTCCTGTTGCTACTTAACAACATCACAGTGTTTTCAGTTTAAATGAATTATATTAAGACAATTAATTAGTTTTTAACAACCTAAAACATTAAAAATACTCCACAGTATAAGAGGTCTGACTCTCAGCAGGACTTTCAAGCACAAATAAAGTTAAACAAATAAAGTTTGTGGGGAAAAAAAAAAAACACCTTTCCAATTTGCCTCAGTTCAGAGCAAAGTATTAGAATTCAGCTCAAGGACAAACCCCAGAGGGCACAGATGGTGCAATGGTAAAAAAAAAAAAACAGCAAGGAGCAGAAATTTGTGCCGCATGTTTTCCACGACCTTGACCCCGTCTAAATCCCACATCATTTTCTCTGACAAGAAGAAATAGTGATTCATAGTCTCACACTTTATAGGAAATATTGACAAGCTCTCAAAGCGCTCCAGTGTCGTCATTATTCATTCACTCCACAAGCTCGTGGTTTTCTACACCTGTAACTAAGCGAGCGACGCGCTAAAACATTCATATCACGATTTTCTTGGAGCCAGATCAGAATTTCAATCAAGGGTGTGCAAAAATATCCAAATATCAATATATCGTATAGTTGAATGTGATGATACAGTGTCGATATCGTGGGCTGCTGTATCGATATATCGCCAACAGTATTATTTTGGCTTATTTTATGTTATTGTTTTGTTTTGTTTTGTTGCTTTTTGAGAGAAAGGACACTTGTTTTAAGCAGCGTATCTGACATATTCCCTGTTTTGAGGCTTAAAATGGGCGTTTTTTATATTAACTTTGCAAAAATAGTGGTTTGACAAAGACTTTTAGCGTCACAGCCATGATTTAGCCTTTATTTTTTATCGAACTGTACCAAATCGATTTGAAATATATTGCATCGAATCATATTAAATCAAAAGCTCACTGTATCGAGATATGTATCGTATCGTGGCCTATGTATCGAGGTGTGTATTGTAAGGATGTAACAATAACAAAAATATCATGATATCGTATCGTCAAAGTTCTCACAATAATATCGTGGACCATCACAATATATCAAATTACAAGTCTCTTTGCTTGAATTAAGAGTTATGATGCGGAAGTAGCTAAAAAAGTATCATGGTCAGTGTAGAGGGAACTACATAGACCATGATCCTTTGCGTCGTTTAGGGGCAAACTACATGAAAAAATAACATTTCTAAGCACTTTTAAATCTTTGGATTAAGTCTTGTCAATGCATTTTAAGAGGAAAAAGTAGCATATTAACAGTTTTGTAAGCCTCTACAAAATATCGCAATAAATATCGTACCGTGAGATCAGAGGCGGCGCTACCATTAGGCAAAAGTAGGTGGTTGCCTAGGGCCCCCAAACCTGGAGGGGCCCCCCAACCAATTGCCCTCAGTGCCACTAAAAAGAGAGAACTACATAGACAATGATCCTTTGCTCCATTTCAGTGCAGACTACAAGAAGAAATAACAGTTCTAAGCACTTTTAAGTCTTAGTTCTTTAGATTAAGTCTTGTCAAGGTATTTTAAGAGGAAAAAGTAGCATATTAACAGTTTTGTTAGTCTCCACAAAATATCACAATAAATATCGTACCATGAGATATATATCGTGAAAATATCGTACCAAGAGATTTGGATATTGTTACACCCCCAGTGTATTGTAGGGAGTTCCATCAAAGAATGATAAAAAATATAGTTTCAGATAACCTCAAGTAGAACCCTGCATTAAGTTTTAGCACCAAAAGATGATTTAAGAAGAAATTTGGAAGAAAAAGAAGATACTTTAGAGGTTGCTCAAGCTGCATGAATTTTCCTGGAAATTGACTAATATTTCATTTTCAAGTAAGTTTTTATGGACTTTATGGAATTTATAAGTAATTTTTATGCACGTTTCAGTTTGTGTTTGCAGAATAAAATGACAAATTATTCAAAAAAGTCTTATTTATTAGTTTCGCTGTGTTATAGTATAGGGCAATTTTCAAATGTCTTGAGCAACTTCTAAATATGAATTAATCTGCATAAAATTTGGACGCAGATATTTTGCACAGATATGGAACCAAGTCCAGGGTTCTAATCTAGAAGAATCTGGACCACCCTAATATTGTATTGTATTGTATCGGCAGATTCTTAGTGATACCTGGTCCTAATTTCGATTTAACAACATTCATATATTTTCTTGTTTCTTTTCTACAGTCTTCAAGAAGGTAACTAAGGCTGTCTACTGTCTGCTGATTGGTTATATCCACCTGTCACTCACTCAGAGCATGACAGAGGCTGACCAATAAGAGGAGAGGGTGGTGGAAATACTTGTATGTGTCTGTTTTTCATTGAGCTGCATTAAACAGAGAAGCAGGGAATCACAATATGAAAGCCCACCACCAACACTCACACAACACCACATTCATACTAAGCCAGCTGAGTGAAGTGTCTTGCTAAAAGGCACAACAAGTCTAGATCTCAACCCGGGTACAGCCAAAAATGCCAATTAAGGACACTGAACTAAATGATTCTTATTTACAATCAGATCCTAAAACTAAAACTTCCTTTCAGCTGTCAAGCCGCCATCTTGCTGCTGTATCTATCCAACACACTGTTACAGCAATAGACTCTCGTCGCCATCTTGCTACTGTATTTCCACATGCATATGTACATTGATAAACCTCTCCGCCATCTTGCTACTGTATTTCCCCACAAACATTGATGGACCGTTGTCACCATCTTGCTACTGTATTTCCACACACATAGGTACATTGATAAACCTTTCCGCCATCTTGATACTGTATTTAAACACATACATAGGTACACTGATAGACTCTCGCCGTTATCTTCCTACTGTATTTCCTCAAACACATGTATACTGATAAGACCCTTATCACCATCTTGCTACTGTATTTCCACACACACATGTATACTGATATCGCCCCTCACCTCTTTGGTCCGGTCCAGCTCGTTGGTCAGAGCCTGCTTGGAGATCTCCACCTCTATGATCTTCTGTCTCAGGGCTTCGTTCTCGTCCTCCGCTCGGCTCCTCTTCTCCTCCACCGCCTCCAACTCATTGTGAAGGCGCACGGACACATCTTTAGCCACCTGCACCACAAAAACACACAAGAACAACCAGAACATGAATCAGAATGAGACTGTTGTGTGCCGTCTGATTGCTGTATGTGTGCCATCAGTATCTGGGGGCATGTTCATGTAGTGACTGATATATGCTGCTGTTACCTTGAGGTCCTGCTCCAGACTCCTGAGCAGTTCTCCATCCACATGGCCGGTCTGTGCCACCCTCAGACTCTTCTGCTCGGCCTTGCGGAGTCTGTACTGCAGGATACGACAGTTCTTATTGGAGCGGTCCAGCTCTCGGCGCAGCTCCTGCACCTGGTACACCTCCTCCTCCAGGTAATTATCTCTGATCTCCTCCATCTCAGCGCGAAGCTCGTCCACTTCATCCTGGAGAACACAACAGAACACTGATGATATGATCCGAACACATTACTGCTTTACAGGCTGGTTGAAACCTCTCACAGTGTTGGATTTTAGTCATCATTCACTCCACACTTGCTGGTGCTAAACTACTTCTGTAGCCACAACTGCCCTGGGACAGACTAGCAGAAGCAAGGCTGCCAATCTGCACCAACATCATCCCTCTCTCATGCTCCACATTCATACTATGCAATGTGTGTTCAGTGTCTTGCCTAAGGACACATGTGCTGTCTAGAGTAAAACACACGATGTCAGAGGAAGAAAAGCTGTTATTTAAAATAAAATATGATCAGTTAAAGCTGCTATCTGTACTGTCACATAACACCAGATGCAATCTACAAGTTAGTATATCACTGCAGTCTGATAGTGACCTTGCCCTACAAGATGGATTCTTGCGATATTTGTGAGTTTTAGTATAGTATTTTCTGTATTTTATCCAAAACACAGACTATTTTGTTTGTGTAGAATGAGCAGAGGGGAAGTGCTTTGTGCATTTGTGGAAAGGGAAGATGCTTTTCTCTCAACTCAATTTGTTCGTCTTGTCATTATGATGCCCCAGGCTTTCTGATCTCTTTCGGTAGAGCCATTACAGATACATAATGTGGAGAATTCACTTCAGAGTAACACACATATCAGTCTGGTGTGAAATAGGTTAGTCTGACAGTGTGCCGGCTTTGGACTGACAGAAGAAGAGCAGAGTGCAGAGGTGAGTCTGAACAGGACAGGTGAGGGGGAACAGGTTTCGTATCAGCCACCTACTGGTATATCTATCTACAGATGGTATCTTTAAATATTTCAGTTTGATTTTATGAACCAAAAAAGTCCTCGGAAGTCAGTCTTAGTCAGAACCATTTGAATCCCTTGCCATTCATTATATGTTTTAAGTGCAAATTGCTTAAATGTTATTGCTTTCCCGACACTTCATTATATGACATTTCAGGTGCACTGTGTAACTTTTCTGGTAGAGGGTCCACCAACTGCTTTACTTAATGTTATTTTTTTTCTGGAATGTTCTACAGTATGGCATTTAATTTAACTATTTCCATGGAACCAATCAGGGGATGTCACCAGGCCAAGTTACAGGTCAGATCTGTGGAAAAGTGGACCCGCTCATTGAAATAATGGATGTTTTTACGGTAGTTTTCAGGTATAAAAACACACTGTGGACCATTCCAGGTAATGCAATAACATAACCGTAGAGACGAGCAGAAAAGTTACACAGTGGACCATTAAACTACATGTAGACAAGGTGCCACCGGTCCAAGTTACACGTCAGATCTGTGGAGAGGTGACCAAGCGCACAGTAAAGCAATAAAATCACCCATATTGAAATAAACTCTAAGATTCATTCATTCAATTCAAAATGATCACGTAGTTTAATGTCATATATTGAAGCATTGTAACAAAAGCAAGGTCCTCTAGAAATAATCAGATGACTAGTTAAATGAAAAAAAAACATTCAAAATCTCCTCCAACATTAAATTTTGGAATTATATTCACAGATTTCATTTACATTTTAAACCCCAGAGCCTGCTGACAGGTGGCTGCAGTTTGCCATGTCTCCCAGAATGCTTTGTGCCTCGGTCCTGCCTGTGTATTGATTGAAACGCGAGCTCTTTTCCTCTGCCTCTGCGCATGACAACAGCTCCGTGCTCCCCCTAACGAGCTCAGATTAACTTTTCATTAATTACCGCCCTACCCCTCACTCTATCTTTGTTTTACTCCAGGTGCCGGCAGCAGACCCCCTCCCCACTCCCAAGAGAAAAACACTGCACAAACTGATTTCACACGCAGATTTTACTCAGCTCAGCACACGTTAGGTGACTGTAAAAGTGTCCACGTGGTACAGAAATCCTCATCTTTTATTGAAAATGTAGCTAAACACTGTAAAAAATATATGAGAATAGAAATAAATGCAATTATGTAAACAAAACACAGCTGAAAGTGCCCAGATTACACCATTTTGTTGTTTTCTCATCACAAACATACCTGGAGTTGTGTTTTATTTCACATTTTAAACACACAAACCCTGCATTTTTAGGCTGAGTTCTTCCAACAACACAAAATTGAACAGAGCATTTTGAGCTTTGGAGATGTAGACAGACTTTATTACTTTCACTCATTAGGATTTTGGGTCTGAAAATCTCCCAAAATCGAAAACCAGTCCCTCACAACACCTGAAATGTTCGTAATTATGGAGTGAATGAAGAAGTGTGCGCTAAATAAACAGACAGCCCTGAATCCTAGGCTGTTTTAGAAGTAAATATGAATGCGATCCAAGAGATAAGATGCTTAGTTTGATGTTACGTCAGCGGTGAAGAGTCCATGTAATCACAGGAGCAGAGGATTATGGGAAAGGTAGAATACATCCTTCTATAGGTTTACATCAGCACGAAGGGTCACTGTTTCTTAGCCTTTTGTTCTGACGGAAGATAGTGTGAGAACGGTGCTGCTACTGAATCAAAATGTGGGGTTAGAGTGATTTAAAAATGCGTTGTGTAACTTATTCAACCTCTCTATCTCCATGGAGACCAAACCAGACCAAGTTACAGGTTAGATCTGTGGAAGAGACGACCCCACTGAGTCAGAGTACCAGTTTTTATAGGTATTTTCTAGGTATTTTTGAGCTATAAAACCACCTGTAATTGAATGAATGTAAAGTAGAGCATTGACATATCCATAGAAACAAGCAGGTAACGGACCCCCAATCAAAAAGTTACACAGTGCACCTTTAAAGAGTAGCTACTTTTGATTAAGCTCTTTATTAAAACTGAAATAGTATTGTGACGATGCTAGAATTGCAAACTCCATTTCGATACTAAGGAATAGACTTGAAACTCAGATACCACAATGATAATAAAAAACACACATATTTAGACAATAGAATGCAATTTTCAGCATTAAGTAGTAGTACTTTCTTTTATATTTCCATGTGGTTTTATATCTGTGTAAACCCTCAGTGGTAAATGGGCGTATACTAGTTTGTGTGCTCTTATACTTGTTCTGATACAGCTTAAAATCATTCTAAAACTATTTAGGAAAGGTTCGTTTCTGTCCTTTGAATGTGACTTTTTTAGTATCAATACCTGCTCAAATGAGTATCTAGTTTTGATCGTTTTAATATTGATTAGAATTTGACTTTTGATACTTTGATGTAACGATATTGAAATCTCACGGTATGATATTTATTGCAATATTTTGTAGAGGTTTACAAAATTGTGAATATGCTACTTTTTCATCTTAAAATGCCTTGACAATAGCCAAACCGGCGCCATCTATTGCCTCCGTTCAATTTCATTTCTCTCCAACGACTAGGTCAGGAATCAAAATACACTAGACGGTTTGCAAGAACCCTGGAAGTGCAAGTTCGGGCACCAGCCAATCAGTTCTGTGTTGTCAACGATTCCCGAGATCGAGGATTTAAAGCCGGAACAAAGAGAATGTTTGGTGAATTTTATTAAGGGGAAAGACGTTATTGCTCTTGTTCCTACGGGATTTGGGAAAAGCTTATTATACCAGTTAGCCCCCCGATAATGACGCATTACATACGTCCCGACCAAATAGCTGCAATTGGTTAAATAAAAAAAAATACCTGCCTACCGTCAAGGGAACGAATCCTAATGCTGCGAGGTCAAACGGTTTCCACGAAGTGAAACCGTCTGATGAATCAGGCTAACGAGAGAAGACTTAATTCAAAGAACTAAGACTTAAAAGTGCTTAGAACTGCTATTTCTTCATGTAGTTTGCACCAAAACAGAGCAAAGGATTATGGTTGATGTAGTTCCCTTTGTTTGAAACTTGTGATTCAATTTATTGTGATTGCCGATGATATTATTGAGAGACTTTTGACGATACGATATCACAATATTTTAGTTATTGTTACACCCCTAATGTTTATCAATGTATTTTTCAGAATAAATACACTTGTCATTAAATAAATAATAGATCATTTTCATGCCATTCTGTGGAACATTCCAAAGTTTTAACATCTCCACAGAGACAAGCATGTAGCAGACCCCCTTCACTTTTGTTATAGATTATTTCTGTGTACAAAAATGACTTCTCTTTTGCAACTGTTACGACCCCAGGTTGGGTTTGTATTTTGTGGGTGCGTGTGTGTGCGCTGTTGCTGGCTCTCTCCCCCCTCCCTTCCAGATTCCAAAGTGGGAGGACCAATCCAACGAGCGGCACCTGGTTGTGGGCGTGGCATACCACCTTTAAAAGCTGGCTGCTGGAGACTGCCTTTACTCTCTCCTCTCTACCATGCGGCCACAACTTTTTTTTTTGCACCTTGCTTTTAAATAAATATCTATTTTTGTACCATTTTTAAACATGTGTGGACTCTTTTACCTACAAAAGTATCAAAAATCAGACATCATTCAATACTAAAACTAGTATCGAAACTAGTTACAAGTTACAGGTCAGATCTGTGGAGAGACGACCCCGCTCACAGTCAGAATACATGTTTTTCTACCACCTGTAATTAAATAAATGTAAGGCAGACCTATTTAATGTCATACTGTGGCACATTCTAAACAAAGCAATGATATATCCATAGATACAAGCAGGTAACGAACCCTTAACTCTTTCCCCATGAAGACGACATTTGACGACCCCCTTGTGTCCTTAATGACGTGTTTTGATACCTCCGCTGTATCACTAAAGACGTAATTTGACGACCATTAGAAACGGCACCGGTAACGGAGGCTGCGATCGGTGGGGGTCACTACAACTCATTCTTGGCTGACCAATAGGATTCAAGGATACGTTTTCGCAGATTTTTTTTTATGAAGTTAATCGAAGTTGTGACGATTGTAGCTTTTGGAATAAACACAACAAGAAGCACGTGCGATGGAAAGATTGCGGCGCGCAGTTTTACAAATAATGAGGAGCGGACATATTTTATGGATACCTTTGGAGAAAGTGATTTTTATACTGTTTCTGGTGAAATCTGTTTAAACCTTTGACAAATATATTTTTAAATTTTTTATGAATATAGTACTCAAAACATGCATATATCAGATGCTGAATGTAGTTTTTTGTTTTCAATTTTGCACCTGACGAGGTAAACTCTAATTTTCAGTGAGCTGTTATAAACCTATAAATGAGATGAATCGCATTTAAACATCCATAAATGAAGAGTTCAGAGTCTAAGGCAGGGGTGTCCAAACTTTTTTCATCAAGGGCCCTATATCTAAACACAGACAAAGCAGAGGGCCGATCGGGGGCCCTAGACTGGAGCTCAATACAGGGAATAATTGAAATATGTGTGTGTTTTACATGTTAAAATGAACCATCAGTCTTTTTTCATGCTAAAATCCTTAAAACCAAACACTAATTATTAAATATCAGCATTATCAAGGTAGATTTTCAAAAAACTTGCGGTAAAAAATATTTTTTAATTGATGCAAGGTAATTTGGGACAATTCACCTAGAAGCCTGAGGACCAAGAAAAATTTGTCTGAGGGCCGCATTTGGCCCCCGGGCCATAGTTTGGACATGCCTGGTCTAAGGTTTCCAGAGATACCTAATATGTCTGTCTTTCTATTAAGTTAGTGAGTGTGAAAATCATTTATAATCACTCGTGGAAGTCTGTTTTCTTTTATGCAGTTATGCTCTATGGGTAGTCCCAGTAATACATGTATGGGTTGTTCCTAGTCGGCGTCTGAGGGAGAAAGAGTTAAACAAAAAAAAAAGTTACACAGCACACCTTTAACGTTGAAAATAAATAAATAAATAACATTAAATCAAGTACAAAAATGACTCTTCTCTTTTGCAGCACAGTCACCTCTTATCTTATTACGCAACGAGATCAAATCAGTGACGGCTTAATGGGGTGCCCTGAGCTCCACGCTTCCAGACACGGGGCACCACATCAGAGGGGTGAGGGGCGAGGGAGAGCCCCAGCCGGTGATCTGGTGTCTGGGCAGAAGGCGAGCGAGGATGGGGGTGGGGGGAGGAGTACATGGGAACGCCCCCGTACCATCTACGACAACGGGGTCAAACCAGAGCTGTATCCGATCAAAGAGACACAAATACTATAGACGATTAAATGAAAAATTTACCTTTCCTGAATAGTTTTAGAATGATCTTGAGCCGTTTCAGAACAAGTATAAGAGCACAGAGACTAGTATACGCCCATGGACCACTGAGGGATTACACAGATATAAGACCACATGGAAATATAAACGAAAGTATTATGATTTAATGTTGAAAATCACATTCTATGGTCTAAATAAAGTACTTTTTATCATCATCGTGGTATTGGAATCAGCACTGAGTTTCGAGTACGCTGTAACATAATATTTCTGCAGTTGTACCATGGATAAAGTAGATTATAATAATACTATTAAGTAGATGTGATGGATGATACCAGTGATCCGATACCATGTAATACTCAAGGGCGTAGGTTTGCATAGGGACGGTGGCGACATGTCAGGACCAATATTTGAGGAAGAAAAAATTGTCCCGACCAATATTTGCCATTTTATTTTAATTAACAAAATATCTAACAAAAATATAAATTTATTCCGATATTTTTCCAAGCTCAGTTGTATTAATTTTACACGTTTTGGTTCACATTTTGTTTATTAGATGTTCTGCTGTTATGTCATTGGCAGCAACAGAGTGACAGGGCCAGCACCCGAAGATGGTGGCTTGAGACACTGCACCAAACTTTAAAAAACTTTTCAAAAGGAACTTACTTGGCTTCATCTTCAATTAAACTTACTATATAATGAGTCGCTGCGGAAAAAGAGCGACTATCACCACATGTGCAAATCCAAAACGGAGCCCTACTCGTGCGCTGTTAGCAGCCAGACTCTACTGACAACATTCCATGGAAAAATGTTTGGACATGACCTCACAAATATCTCATCACCAACAAGCAAAGGGAAATCTGCTACAAACTTCTACATCGCTGTTATCCGTTAAAGAATCATCTTAGAAGGACAATGGACACAAACTGTACATTTTGTGAACTGAAAAATATAACCACCTCTCACTTATTTTGGACCTGCCCAGACTCGGTGTGTTTTTGGAAAGAATTCATAAAACATATACACAACTTCTTATCCCATTTTACCCTTTCTCATAAAGATGTGCTGTTTGTTTTTTGTAGTGTGCATCATACAAAAAGTCAACAATATCATATAATTCATCTGTTAATAAAGTAACCTATCAGCTGGTTTCATGCTGATAATGTCTCCACCAAAGCTTGCAATATCAGTCTGTTTGTATGTATGTATTGAAACGCCTGTACTTACTTAAAATTATTTAACCTTGGCATATAAAGGCTATCATTATTTTCGCTCTACTTCAGCTGTAACTGATATAAAAATGTCTATGGTGCACAGAAAAAAAATAGTTTAAAATTGGATAAAAAAAAATAAACTTGACATTGATTGCATGAAAATCAATACTTTTCAATTCCTTCATAGCAGACACGTCAGACTCAGGCCCCGGGGTCAAATTTGGCCCATGATATAATTATATTTGACCTGCAAATATGTTTTAGAGCTGGCCCGCCGGCTACAGATAGGCTATAGAGACATTATTTATTTAAGAACCTGTTTACATGAGAACGCTTGCAGGTAAAAATGGCAAAATATTTGATCAGACGTGCCTTTCATTTAGACGGTGACGGCGTTTTTGGGACTTAAAAACGCAAAAATCTGAAACCACCCTTCAGAGTGGAAAAGTTGAATACACTCCACTGTAGTGTTTCCGTCTACACTGCCCAAGACGCAAAACTCTGGTCAGATCTGCTCACGTCACGTACACGTTTACATCACATACATCATCACCTAGCGTCACCACCGAGCCGCCTGGCATGTATACCCAGTCGAATTCCACACACTTTTGCTTCACCGTACGCACGCAGATTTCCTCCCAAAAATGATCGTCTAAACGCGGAATAAAAAGTGAAGGCGCGATATCACTTTTGCGTTTTCTGTTCAGACCGTCATCATATATACGTAGCCTAAAATTTTGTTATTATTTTATATTATGTTTGTTCTAGATTCAGTGTTTAATCAAAACTATTATTAAACATTTATTTTAATAAGAAAAAGTTTAACATTACATATCTCGAAAGAACTGAAAACATGTTGCAGAAATTTTTCAATAAATATTTAGTTTGGTCCACAACTTATTACCAGTTTTTAATTTTAACCCTCTGTGAATTTGAGTTTGACACCCTTGCTTTACAGTACCACAAAATTAGTTAATTTATTCCACAGTATGGCATAAAACATTTCTCTCTGTGGAGTATGTTCCCAAGTATGGTTTTAATTTCCATTTAACGTTTTATTTTCCCCCACAAAGTGACTGTACCTTTAAGTGATATTGTGTATGGGCCTGCAGGTGGATGACAGTGTGTTTTCATAACGCCTGCTTCCCTCCATCACTGTCCCGTAGGAAACAGCCGACATATGTGGCCCTTAACTCAGTGAGGGGGCAGAGGAGAGGGGGTTTACGTGGGTATAAAGGGACCAAGGACGCGCTGAGTAAATGAAAGTAGCATCAATAGGATTGAGTCAATGGGAGGTTGGAGCAGAGGGCAGGGAGCAGGGCTGGAGCGCGTATGACAGCGGGACAGCACACTCACCCGTGATCTGCACAGTCACACTGCAATGGAGCTGTACAGGGCTCAAGGTTACTACTGTCCCTGTGAGAGGACATTACACACAAACTCTGCCGAAGGAGTAGTAGTAGCAGTTGTAGCAATAGCAGCTGTAGTAGTAATAGCAGTATTAGTAGTAATAATACTCGTACTGGCAGTAGTAGTAGCAGTAGTAGTATGGTAGTGATAGGCTACATGTATTGAACTGCTGCAGCATTGGTACCCACAGTAAAGTACTTTCCCTGCCTCAGACCTGTTCCTGCACTACAACACTGTTGATCGCGCTGTCACGGGCTGCTGTACCTTGAGGTAGTCGTTCTCGGAGCGCAGATCCTCTATCTCCCGCAGCAGCTCCTCCTCGGGGGCCTCTTTGGGGGCCGGGGAGGCTTTGTCGGGCTGGGGCATGCTCCTGGCACCGGGCGGCTCAGCGCGAGGAGGGATAGGGGCTCCGGAGCCCACAGCGGGGGCGCGCGCCTGTGGATTGTCCCGGTCACTGGAGCCGGTGCCAGACTCCGGCGCCGAGCAGTCCGACAGGTCCGAGCTGCTGCCCGCTGCTGCGGCCACGCGGACGTTATCAGCCCCTGTGGGCACGCGGATAGGGGATCCATGCGCGTGCTTGACCTTCTGGACTGCGAGTAGGACCGGGCTGGTGGGCTCTGGTTTGGGGCAGGCCTTGGGGCTCTTCTTGGCTGGGGTTCTGGGGGCAGTTTTTGCGGCAGGAGGCTTGTCTTTGGCCGCAGTAGCCGTGCGTCGGGAGTTACGGCTCGGATGCGCAAGTGGCACCGCAGGAGACTGTTTGGTCAGTTTTGGAGACTTGGGCACGAGTGAGGATTTGGTGGAGCGCGAGTGAACGTCTTTGATGAAGGGTCTGGCCGGGGACGGTGCTCTATTGAGCCGCTTCTTCTCGAGCTGCGGCCCGTGCGCTCTCTCCGAGCCACCCGAGCTCTCCATCACAAACCGGCACAAGCTCCGGCTCTGACACCGGCAGCGGGGAACGGATCCGGGCTGTGGGTCCGCCTCGCCGCTCGGGGACAAACACTGAACACACGTTTCTTCCGCTTTACCTTCCTCTTCTGTCGCTGTTGCTTTGAGCTTGAGCGCATCCTGCGGAGGCTGCCCTACTCCATCCTGGGCGCGTTCAGGCTGAGCGCCGCAGACACGGAGCAGACGGAGGCAGGTGGCACCGGCGCAGTGTCAGTGATGAGCCGGATCAGCTCCGCTCCATCCCCCGCTCTCCGCTCCACAGATGAGCGCCGAGCTCTGCAGGTGTTGCCGCTTGTCACTGGTCCTTCTCCCGGGCTCCTCGCTCCTCAGACCTGACATGGAAGATCTGCAGTCACCGCAGACACTCCGAGCCTCGACGCCTGTGATTCGGTACCAGGCGCATGCGCAGAAGCCTCACGGGCAGCAGCAGAACACCCCGTGTTTTCTGAGGGAGCGGGGATGGCACGCTCCGCTGCGCATGTCCCGATCATTCACCACGACTAGTCAGTAAGATCCAGCAACTAATCATCGAAATCCTGATACTTCGTAATTAGCCTGTTGTTTAAAAGACCAGGGGAGAAATTGGCTGAACCACAAACAGACGACGCAGCATTAGTGGAAACACTTGTACGTTTGGCTCACGAGGTCCGGACACGCCCCCTCCGCTGTGATTAAACCCGTGCACAGCTTCGTAATAAAACAACAAAAACAGGTTTAGCGTGATGCCCGTATTCTGTGCCACCCCCCGCAGCGAGGCACCACAAGATGAAACACACAGACACATCATCCAACTGTCATTTTCAATCAGTCTGTAAATATAGCCCATCAGAATGACCTCAAGCAGCTTTCTCTGGGTAAAATGTTGTAAAAATCTCATGTTCAGGGGCCTACTGACAACTAAATGATTAATCAAAAGAAATATGGCAAGATGAATCAATTGCCAAAGTAATCGTTAGTTGCAGCCTTAGCATATTCCCACTAGCCATGTAGTATCAAATAACTAATATCATAAATACACTATTAATATACTGGACAATAAGGAAAGATTTAGATGATTATCTTTATTTATTTCAGATTCAAGAGATTTTTTTGTCATTGTCAGAGAAAACAACAAAAATACGTTAATACGAGCTTCAAACACTGCATAGTTTGGATGTAAAGTGCAATACTACAGGTGCAAGACCCCACCCAATAACCCCTTAAATAACTCCAGTGTAAACATTTGCACAATAAGGACATTCAGTGCAGCACATTTGTAATAATGCAACAATGCAAAGTCCAGTTCAATATTTTATTGGTGGATGTGCTTATTGTCCAAGGGAGAAAGGCCAAGAGGGGAAAGGGGCACTGTTCAGCATCCTCACAGCCGAGGGATACAGGCTGTTGGTCAGTCTGGTTGTTCTGGACTCTATGGACCTGTACTTTGTACTTGAGAGCAGCAGGTGGAAAAGGTGATGGGCAGAGTGGTGTCGGTCAGGCAGACCGCGAGTGGCGTAGATGCTACTGATCTGCGGGAGAGGCGCCCCAGTGATTTTCCCCTCTGTTTTTACCACCCGCTGGAGAGCCTGTAGATGGGCCTTAGAGCAGCAGAGAACCACACTAAAAATCCAGATGTCAGAACACTTCTGATGGCACAGTTGTAGTAGTTCACCATCACTGGACTGGGGATGTTGGCGCTCCTCAGTTTCCTCAAGTAGTAAAGGCGTTGTTGGGCTTTCCCCGGAGCGGAGGCAGTGTGAATGTCTCAGGACAGGTCCTCAGTCACGATCACCCTCTCTGCTACCTCAGTGCCGACACAGAGTTTGGTGGTTGTCTTGCCCATTTTTGTTGAAGTCCACAATAATCTCCTTGGTTGTCACCATGAGGCCAGATGTCCCACATCGTTCCTGTAGTCTGTCTCATCGTCACTGTCCTTTTTCTCTAGGCGTGCAGTCTTTTGATGAGCTTCATCACTTGTTTCTAAGTCCTCCAAAAAACATTTGTTTCTTTTTGTTCCTCCATTAAATTCACAGGTCCAATGCCCCTCAGCACCTGCAGTCACAATATAACAGGGATCATAGAGTCAAAATCTTGTTGTAAAACTCGCAAACATTTAGTATAGGTTCTTTTCTCTCACCACTGTTGGAGGTTCTCGTTCCTCTGGAGATCTTCATCAGGAGTGGTGCTTTAGTTTTGATTAGACTGAACTTCAGAGTCACAGCAGATTACACAGACTGAAGGCCTTCTCCCTTGTGTTGGCCCGAGTCTCTTATTGGACCAGGCCTCGTTCACCTCTTCCTCTCATATGGGCGACAGCATCTGATGGGCCACACTCCAGGAATGTTTTTGGATCCTAAAACACAAGTTCAGTGTAACTGTATATTCTACTTTACCACACAGATTTAAACTGTACTTTCAAATAAGAACTTACAGAGGTCTGTGGATCATCTGTCATTGTAGCTGTAGACCTCTTAGCAGAGATGACGATGATTATGGATCCTAAAATTGCAATAAAAGTTAAAAAAAAACATTATTTATCATTATTTCATTATTATTTGTCTCATTTCTCACAATACCTTGTGTTCTGACGTTAGAATCAGGGCTCCCTCTGGTGGTGGTTCACTGCATTTTGTGGATGACTCCAGGGATAGTTCCAACAGAGACGCACCTTTCTATTAAAAGCAAACAACAGTCTTTAGCAATTAATAAAAATATTACCTTAGTATTGATCTTTACTCACCAGGGACACGGTGGATACGACTCAAACACATTTCTGGACAAACTTACACAGCGGCCTGCCCCCCAATTAAAGCCCTTTTTATGGAACTAGGAAGAAAGTATTAAGAGCGCATCTACACTCCTTCTGTGGGATTAATCCACAAATACTATAAAGATGCACTTTGGTTTAGGCCCTCCTTTAAATGAACAACCATCCTGAAAAACAGAGGCTTTTGCAAACTGATACGCTGTGCAAAGAAGCAAGTACAGTGTTGTATCATGTAAACACAATTAAAATTCAACTTAAACGGGAGAAGTAGGGAGTGTCCCACCAGCCGACAAGTTAGTGAACAAACCCAAGCCTCCACATTTTACAAATTACTGAAAAAAAAAAAAAAAAAAAAAAAGAGAGAAACTGAGTGTCCCACTAATTCTCTAGTGAGTGGACAAATACAAGTCTCTACATCTTACAAATCATTATAAAATAAAAATAAAAATACAATCTCCACAGAGACTGTTCACAGGAGTGTAACATTACAAATCAGTTTAAATACTTTACAGAATAGACACGATAACACTGATACACATGTAGTGTAAACGGTTTAGTTATAAATACCATATTGTGCTAAATCTACATATTAACCTTAAATTACAATTCCTGAAAAAAAAAATTAAAAAAACAACAAAAGAAAAAAAAGAGAGGAACTGGGTGTCCCACTAATTCTCTAGTGATTGAACAAATCCAAGTCTCCACATCTTACAAATCATTATAAAATAAAAATACAATCTCCACAGAGACTGTTTACAGGAGTGTAACGTTACAATATAGTATACATTTGTTCATTTGTATACTACTTGTAGTACAAAACAATCATAAAACAACAACTTAAACAGGAGAAGTAGGGAGTGTCCCGACAGCCGACAAGTTAATGAACAAACCCAAGCCTCCACATTTTACAAATTACTGAAAAAAAAAAACAAAAAAAACAAAACAAAAAAACAAAAAAGTGTCTGACCAACTGCTGAATGAGTGGACAAATACAAGTCTCCTAACGAAGACAGGGAAATATTTCCTCCAGTGAAGGATTTAATTGTAGTTATATTTAAAATGAATTAAGTTATACTTAAAATGAATTAAGTTATTTTAAAAAGTAATATTAATAAGTTGAGTAGTTAACCCTCCTATGGCCAGAGTGGAACCAGCTCAAAGTAAACACAAGGCAAGGCGTACTATGCAGGAAACGACACATAACTATCAGACTGTCTTTTTTCTCAATTAGAATTTAGTCACTGAGGAGATTTACAGAATTTATTTGTGCTGTGTCTGTTACGTTCCTACATAATATTCCTTCTCTTTCAACACACAAACACAGCAAACAAGCGGGAATCGCACCAGCGACCCCACTACTACGACACCACCTATGCCCAGAGTAGAATGCAAGGCGTACTATGCAGGACGTTTGTGACACTGCATCGTAAATTTGGTTTATCTATCACTATTTACTTACTGATCAGGTTTTAACTTTTTTTTTTTTTGGATTTTAAGACTTTTCAGAATTTCAAGATTTTACAAATCCTACATACTATTCCTTGCTTTCTCTCACACAGAAGACGAAAAAATATTTTGGAACACACTGTCTATTACTACTTAACACACAGCTAAGATAATAAATTGAAAAACTATGTACATGAGATTAAATCGGCGGTGTTGAAGGTGGTAAATGTTGCCGATATGATGTGACCAAGCCCAGAGTCTCAGAGACTGAATTCAGTCATCGTCCGACTCAGGGTCTTGGAGCAGGGGGCGGAAGTACCACGGGAGGCTCAGAGTCGTCCCAGAAGATGAGGAGGGCGCAGGGCCTTGGGAGCGGTCTTCAGACGAGGAAAGACGCAGCCTCTTGGAGCTGGGGTCTCCCTCTTCATCCTCACCTTCATCCCTGTGGCGCTTGGATCCACCGAGAGGCAGGACGTCCAGAGCAGGGCCCACAGGGGGAAGGCAAGCAGCAGGACTGCAGGAGGGCGCAGGGGGGACAGCAGCGAGAGAAGACGGGCGACGCTCCTCTTCAAAGATGCCACTGGACGGAGGAGAAGGGCTCTCTGCTCGATGACCCACCACTTCCACAGCTTGAGCAGGAGGAGCCCTCTGGCGCCAGCCGGCCCAAAACTCCTCTGGAGGGAAAACCTGGTCGTCCTCTTCCGCCTCCACGTCCGTATCTTCGTCGCTGTCTTCTTCGGAGAAAGTGATGTAGCCAGAGTTCTCCTCCTCTTCTTCGCTCCAGTCCTCCTCCTCTTCTTCGCTCCAGTCCTCCTCCTTGTCTTCGCTCCAGTCCTCTTCCTCTTCAGCCCTCCAGCCCACTCCCACTTCCTCTTCATCGTCCTCTTCCTCTTGTCCTTGCACCTCCTCTGTCCAAAACGGAAAGAGACGCGCAAAACCAAAAGGCATACTTACCTCCGCCACACCTGCGTCGCCCTCGTCTGGCGGGACGTCCACAACAGGAGGAAACCACACGTCGTGAGGCGCTGCAACATTTTATAACATTAACAACTTGCTCCTTACAAAGGTTTTCCTGCTGTTGTGTAGACTTTTACACACAAGTGATTCTACACAGCCTAATTATAAAAACAGAGAAAGACAAGAGCTGCTAGTCAGTGCAATTTAGTAGCCTATACCTCCTTTTTCCTTGGCTCACATCCTGAAATATAGACTTACTATACCAACAAGGTTTTAGGTCTAAATACAGGCCTAGAGTTTTTGTACAAGACTCTAAACAGAGAGGTCTGTCTGGCTTCTCTTGCTCAAATCTATAGTGCATCTGACAGTGTGCAGTGCACCTCAGTAATCCCATTCATCCCTAAAACTCAAGTAAAACTCAACCAAAACCTCATAACATGATCACTTTCAATATAAAATCTACATCTCTGCAAATATTCTAGTGTAGAATCTTTGGCTGTGCGCCATCTTTTTTTGCGGATGAATTTCGACGTCTACAAACTAAAATAAGCCAATTCTCTAGAAAATGCTTTGATAACCTGTTACTTTGCACCCATACCAAGAAAAATAGGCCCCTTTGACTTTGTATTTTTCAACTACATTAAGAAATCGTCGACTGAAAGTCATAACCTCTCAAATGATTCAGTTTCATAAGCTTCGACCTATGGTACCATGTGACCCTAACATTGGCCGAGTAGAAACTGTTGATAACCTGTAGCATTTCGTTAATTTTATCTCTATTCACGAATATTTCAGTGACTTATTTTACCTCCAAGATGGTCCAAGAAGGTCAGGTGTTCACCACGGCGGCCCATGGCTGAGTTGAAGGCAGAGTTCCAATTGCAAACCTTGAAAAGAGTTAACAAATTAGGATTAGAAAGTGTGCTGATACTTTTAGTGTATTTTCTTTAAACAAATATTTGTTTTAAGAACTCTAAAAACATATTTTACCAGCAGCAGAGTTTCAGGTTAAGAATCCCACTCGAGCGTTCAAGTGAAAACAGACCGATTTAAACCGCGCGTTGCTATGACACCGACGCACGGACGTGCCGCTCCCCGTTCACCTTGTTTAGGAAGAATTTACTTAAACTTTAACATTAAATTTAACTTTGACCAGAGGTTAGATGAGAAACCGATTCGATGTAACAGTAGACCACTTTAAACGTTTGGAAAGAAAAGTGACAAGTGAAACTAATTTATTGACTTCTAGCGTAACCTTTGATTTATTTGACACATATTATTTCACGTATTATTTCATTTTTATTAACATTAATTTGGGTAATTATTATTTTGTATATAATTTTGATAATTAATTTATATTACTTTGCATTTATTTAATTAATAATTCATTATTACATTATGTTGAGTTCTGTAGTGTACTTCTATTGTTTCAGTGGAGCGCATTTGATCAGCGCACCGGGGTTTTAATAAAACTGAACGCAGAGAGAGAGAGAGAGAGAGAGAGAGAGAGAGAGAGAGAGAGAGAGAGAGAGAGAGTTGTTTTGTAAACAAGGAAGACATCAAGAAAATACAACTGTTGTAAATACTGGCGGATCAATAAGGCAGACAAAAAAGTTTAAAAAGAATAACAGAATTTATTAATTACATAAAATTTGCAGGTTGGTGGGAGCTGGGTCAGAGGGAGTGAGAGTCCAGGAGGCAGAGTGCAAAAACCGGGTCTGAGGAAAAAAGAAGAACAAGGCAAACTAAGAACTTGGAGAGACAAACTGGAGCCAAAAGTTTTACTGCGTGGGATAAACTGGATCTGGAGAGGTGTGGATGATTGAGCTGTTCTTTAATACTGGAGAGGTTTGTAGGTTGACAGATCAGCAGCAGGTGTGTAGCGGGTGGGACTACAGGTGAGGGTGGTTCCAGAGTTTCCGTTCAGGTCCAGACACACAAACACAAAGCGGAAGGGAAGACAGAACCAGGGGAAAAACAAAAATTTAACAACAACAAGTGTAACCCACCATACCCACAGCCTTAAGAGACTTGTACAGACAACTTTATAGGATATAACACGAAGGACTTTCAAAAAAATAAAGCGGTAACATTTATCGACCTTAACAATTATGTACCTGCACGATTCAGTGGTAATACAAAGTTAAAACCACTGGAAAAATTCTCCCTGCAGACAGACATTTGTGTTGTGTACCGTACTGTAAGTAAAACTAATATTGTGTATTCTCAGGCTGCAAAATAGTTGGTAACGGGTCTATAAACAGACTCAGAACATGCTATGAGCTGACAAAAGGATTTCTGACATGGACAGAGCAGTAAATGCATGAAAATGACGTGAGAATTTTGTGTTTTAGATCAGTGATTCTTAACCACAGGGCCGGGACCACCTCCTTGGGTCCCCCACAATAAGTAAGTTTTTTATTCCGCACTCTTCTCTTTAAGTTGTAATGTAATTAATGTCTCTCTTTTTAAATTTTAATCTTTAATTTTATAATGACTATATATGTTTTGATTTGTTTTTACTGTGATTTTAATGTTTTTCTTATTCTGTAAAGCACTTTGAATTACTTTGTGTATGAATTGTGCTATACAAATAAACTTGCCTTGCCTTACAACATAATGGTTTTAACATGAGATAGAGCCCCAGGTTACTTTGTTCAGAAAAAAAACTGAAAAGGTTAAGGACCCCTGATTTAGATGAAATTGCCTAGTTTCAAAAAGTAGTTAGGATTCCTGTTGTTTGACCATGTTTGGTGTGCTAATATACGAGAACTTTCAACACTGTCAGCATTTTATAAAGCTTTAAAACAGTGGTTGTTCAATGCCCAAATATGTCACCATGTTTAACCAGGGTTGTTGGTTTAACTCTTGGTTTAACTCTTAAACTCTTGTCTTTGAACTCCAAATGAACTGTTTGAAATTGTGTGTACAGTGAGTGTGCTGGTGTTATGTACTTTGGTGTGATTGTCGCTGTACTTTTCCTTGTCCTGTAGATGATTTTACATTTTTTTACATCAACCTGCCAAGGGACTGAAGATGAAAATTGGCCATGCTGGCTATAATCTTTACATATTTACAATTTTTATTTTTTATATATATTTTTTCAATTATACAAAACAAAATAAAACAAAAAACAAACAGAAGAGAAGAGTGCCATTACAATCGTTCAATGAAATATCAATCAAAATGTGTTTATACTATCAGTTTTCAGATAAAGTCCGATCTGATAGGTTTCACATACTCGGTCCATTTCGTCCATGTTTCATAAAATAAGTCCCTTTGGTTCCGGGGGGTGAAAGACAGCTTTTCCATCACACAAATTTCAAAGACTATTTCTATCCACTCCTCTATTGATGGAGGATCCACCCTCAGCCATTTTCTTGTAATGGCTTTTTTGCTTGCTACAAGTAGGATTGCTAATAACTTTTTATCATCATTTCCTCAATTCTGGACATTAACATCTCCCAAGTATAGACACTCAAAGGTAAACATCAATTTAGATCCAAAAACGACATACATATTTACACTTTTAATGTTCACTAATATGTGCTGTCCCGTTACAAATAAATAAAAATAACACAAGGATCATAAAAAAACCTCAAAGAAAATATTCAAAAGTTACATTTGTAGGGCTGCAGACTAAATATACACTGAAAAACATTGATAGTTTAGAAAATGGAAAAGCACAAAAGCCATTAAAGATTCTGTGTTACACAAAACTCATTCCAGTGAACTCAAAATACTCTGCGTCCCCTTGTGATGTCATGCAGGTAGTTTTCAAGTTAACAGCTCCCTGTAAACCCGAATGTTCAAAGTAATTAATTAGATTAAGCTGTGTATACTCAAAGTTTTAGAAACAGTTCTACTAACTTAATTATGTCAAGTTGCTTTTTGAGTAAATTTAATTAATATTTTTTGATTAAAGGGAACTATTGTGTGTATAAGTGAGTGTAACTTAAACACACAGATGACTTAGACTTAGAAGCAAGTCTGTAATTAACAAAATAATATGTAATGTACATTTATTTTATTAAGGAAAAGCCCCTTGAGGTAAGTCACCTCGTTTTTGAGGGGGATCCTTATCATCCAAAGAATACAACAAGTCGCAAAAATACAAACAAGCAAAACAAAACAATACAAAAACAAAACAACATATCTAATAAACAGAAACACAAAACGATAAGACAAAATACATAGACACAGACATTAAACATAAACATAGAGAAACATTAATATAACAACCAAACAGATCCCTCACTAAAAGCAGTCACATTGTGTTTTAAGATGAATGAATAAGTCTTTCTTAAAGATATGGAATGATGATGTGGAGCGCAGAGAGTTTGGCAAATTATTCCAGTCTGATGGTGCTTTGACGCTGAACGCTCTTCGTCCAATGACTCTGGAGGTCCGAGGTACTACAAAGGAAGGATGGTCTAATTGTCTGAGAGAGTATGGTAATGAAAATGGAACAAAGTATTGTTGAAGGTAAGATGGACAGAACAGAAAAATGCATTTAAAGATGAACTGAAACCAGTGAAAGTGCATTCTTGCATTAGGAGGTAACCAATCCAGAGTTTCATACAGAATACAATGGTGAGTGAGATATGGACATTGCAAGATGAATCTACACAAACTGTTGAAGGTGACATACAGAGGACGTAGGTGACAGTCAGATGTATTTTGATAGATAATATCAGCATAGTCAATTATGGGTAGTACAAGTTGTGTAATTATTTTTTTCCTTACCGGTAGAGTGAAACATTTAGCTGAACGGTATAGCTGACTTAAATTACAATTCACTTTGTGTGTGTATGTGTGTATAATGTACTATGTATATACTATAATGTGTAATGTATGTAAGTATGTATGTATGCATTGTTTATACTTATTATATAATATTAGATTAGTAAATTCCCTGATTTTCACGTGGAGACTCTCCTAAGGTGTGTATAATCTAATATATGTATATTCAGTGTTGGGGAGTAACGGATTACATGTAACTGGGATTACGTAATCAGAGTACAATTTATGAGTAACTATATTCAGTTACAGTTACTGTTTCAGTGAGTGGTAATTGGATTACAGTTACTTTGTTGAAATAAATGGATTAGACTGCGGTATTTTCCTGTTTTCACATTTTGGGCTAAACTAGGACTAAACCAGGACTAAACCAGGACTAAACCAGGACTAAACCAGGACTACACCAGGACTAAACCAGGACTACACCAGGACTAAACCAGGACTGAACCAGGTCTAAAAGCAGGACTAAACCAGGACTAAACCTGGTCTAGACAATATGACACTAACAGTAGGGTGGACATAATTTAAGGCAGCAGTGATCTCATATAGAAATAATTTCTCTATCAATAATATTTTTTAAATGCTTAAGTAAAGACAGGGCTTTTTATTTTCTTTTAGCAGATAAAACAAATATCTCATGTTAAGATTTCCTGGTCTTTGCTTCTCTACAGTAAACAGTTCAACAGAAAATTTGAAGAGAACAAACAAGAATTTTCAGGATGTGGTTGTTACATTCATGTTGTTTTCAAAAGCACGACAATATCAAGTAATCCAAAGTATTCAGATTACGTTACTCACGTTAAGTAATTTAATGGATTACGTTACAAACTACATTTTCGGGTATGTAATCTGTAATCTGTAGGGGAATACATTTTAAAAGTACCCTTCCCAACACTGTGTATAATGTGTCTATATGTATAATATCATGTGTTTACAGTATAACATATATATACTATAATATTGATTTAATGTGTGTAGTTTAAAGCTCCTTTTACCGAGGTCAAAAACACACCTACCTTTTTCCTTTCATTCAGCAGAGATTGGCAATTCCAGGGCTGAAATTATCCAAATAATTCTAGTGAAAGCACATGGAGTTTAAAAACACAGTGGAGCACTTCCTGTATTACCATATGACATCACAAGGTGGAACAAGTGTTTTCCATTTCAGAGAAGAACTGAGTCAAAATATGCAGGATTTGTGCGTTAAACATGAGAATGAAACAAAATCTGGATTGCATTTTATGTCAAATTTAGTAATCAGTGACAAATTACACAAACATTTAATGAGCTAAAATTGTATAGAGCCAGTGCATAACAATATTAGACTATCTCTGTGACGTCTCCTAATGGAAACAGATGAAGGAAAACACACAACACACAGACGTAATAAATATAAATGTCTTTTTAATAGCATCTCATTAGTCAAAGAATGCCACAAAGTTATAAATACCACAAGTGTCTTCTTTTACCACAAGCCAAACCGATGAACCAGGCCTAATAATACAAGTAACAGTTTTTCATCATTTCAAAATAAAAGCATTTAAAAGTAGATTTAAAACAATGAGCAAGGCAAAGTTATAGGCCACAGGGTTAGTACACAGGAAAAGTAAGAGTACATTTAGATTTAAAGTGGAACTAAACACGAAATCCACGTTTTTCTTCGATATTAAATTGCGTAAATTGTGTTTGAATCGGGTTATCTACTGTTTCTTGGCATTTTGTGGTAGGTAATTTAAGCGCAAACTACGTTGATTTGCAGTTCTCTCGTCAAAAAATGCGTTTTTAAGTTTGAAATGTTATTGTAGGTGGAGTTTAGGTGTTTAGTTCCACTTTAAATCCAACAAAACAAGACAAAGTTGAACAAAAACTGTTTTTATATGTTAAGTTGTAGCGATAATTATGATGGTTTTTTGGATGGCATTGAAATTAAAGGTGCACTATGTCACTTTTCTTGCATTTATTCATTGTAGATGTGTATTGCAAGGTGAGTGAAACCAC